ATTTTCACGCAAATTCTTCTGCTAGTTGGGGTTTAGTCCAAATCTGCATCCTTTCCTTCAAGGCTCAGGGGTCCAAGATTATCTTCTGTGTCTGTAGTTATTGGTTTCCCTTTTCTTTGTTGAAGAGGGTCTGTGCAATCCTTCTGCCTAGTCCGCCATCTTGGATTATGTCCCAGACCACAGTTTTAAAAACAAAACCAAACCTTCAGTTGCTCCACATCATTCCTACACATTAAGATCTAAATCTTAGAATAACCCATAGCCTCCTATTGATTCCCCCCCAACCCCCGCAAGTCTTGACTCAAGCATCTTCTCCCTATGAAACCCATCTGACTTTCCCAGGGGGTTGCGACACAGTAGCTCTTCTCCACTTAGTACTTAAGCATTTAAAAAAAGACAAAGTTACCACCGAGTGGATTCCAGTGCATGGAAGGTGACCCATGTGTGTCAGAATAGAACTGTGCTCTGTAGACTTTTCTGTGGCTTTAGATTATCAAAAGTTTAGACTTTTTGAAAGTAGATCCTGAGGGCTTGATTCTGAGGGGCCTGTGAGTAGACCCAAACTTCCAACCTTCTGGTTAGCAGGTAAGCACGGTAAGCATGCGGACTACCCAGGGACTGCTGTAAGCATAACTCACTGCTGTCAAGTCAGTTCAACTCACAGCTACCACTCCCTGGGTTTCCAAGGTGGTATCTCTGTGGAAGTAGATTGCCCAATTTTCCGTCTGAGAGTAGCTGGTGAGTTTGAACCACCAGCCTTCTGATTAGCAGTCAAATGCCTTAGGCACTATGCCACCAGAATGCCTCCTGTAAGCATCCAAAAAAAAAACCAAACTCACTGCTGTCGAGTTGGATTCTACTCATAGTGAGCAACCCTTCCTTGGGTTTCCAAGGTGCTGTCACTGCGGAAGTAGATTGCCCAACCTTCCTTCCAAGGAGTGGCTGGTGGGTTTGAACCACCAGCCTTCTGGTTAACAGTCACATGCCTTAGGCACTACACTACCAGAGTGCCTCCTAATCTTCAACAGACTGCATTGTCGCTGTATGTCTGCTTCCGTCACTAGAGTAGGGGCTCCCTCAGGATAGGAACCATACCTTTGCAGTTCCATTGTTCTAGTGCTTTGTGCAGTGAGTGGCATATAAACCAAAAAACCAAACTCAGCGCCATCGAGTCGATTCTGGCTCATAGCTACCCCATTGGGTTTCTGAGGCAGTAAAGCTTTATGGAAGTAGATTGCCCCATCTTTCTTCCATGCAGCAGCTGGTGGGTTTGAACCTCTGGTTAGCAGTTGAATGCGTTAGGCACTGCGCCACCAGAGTGCCTTCCAACAAATATCTGTTCCATGAAGCAATGCAAGTTCCTTTGTATTTGTTTTGAATATGACTTTTACTGAAAAGTCTCCTTCCTCTGCCTGCAGGATGTTACTTCACTGAGAGGAAGACACTTGCACTATGGCAGTCTTTGATACTCCTCAGGAGGCCTTTGGCATCTTGCGTCCAGTCTGTGTTCAACTCACAAAGACCCAGACGGTGGAGAACGTGGAGCATTTGCAGGCACGATTACGAGCTGTGAGTGACTCTGCCCTTCAGGAACTTCAGCAATATGTCCTCTTCCCTTTGCGATTTACCCTGAAGACCCCAGGTCCCAAAAGAGAACGCTTGATCCAGAGCGTGGTGGAATGCCTCACGTTTGTCCTTTCGTCAACATGTGTAAAGGAACAGGAACTTCTTCAGGAGCTCTTTTCTGAACTCTCTGCTTGCCTGTATTCACCCAACTCCCGAAAACCTGCAGCAGTGTCAGAGGAGTTGAAATTGGCTGTGACTCAGGGACTCAGTACATTAATGCACTCGGCTTACGGGGACATCATTCTGACTTTCTATGAGCCCTCCATTCTGCCTCGATTAGGATTTGCTGTATCTTTACTGCTAGACCTAGCAGAACAGGAGAAATCGAAACAAATTAAAATTGCTGCCTTACAATGTTTACAGGTTCTCCTCTTACAATGTGATTGTCAAGACCATCAGACGTCCCTGGATGAGAATGAGCAAAAGCAGCTGGGGGATTTGTTTGCTTCCTTTTTACCTGGAATCTCGACTGCACTGACCAGGGTCATCACAGGAGACTTTAAGCAAGGTCACAGCATTGTCGTCTCTTCCCTCAGGCTGTTTTACAAGACAGTGGGCTTCATTATGGCTGATGAACAGCTCAGCAGAGTCTCAAAGGTCCAAGCAAAGCCTGCAGTTGAGCAGAGAATAGCAGAACTGATGACTCACAGGGAAGCAGATTGGGTTAAAAATACAGGAGACAAGTTGGCTATCCTTATTAAGAAGATAACTGAGTGTGTTTCAGTTCACCCACACTGGAAGGTGAGGCTGGAACTGGTGCAACTTGTCGAGGCCCTTCTTTTGAAGTGCAGTCAGTCACTGATTGAATCCACTGGTCCCCTTCTGAAGGCTTTGGTGGGTCTGGTGAGCGATGAGAGTCCTGAAGTCCAAGCCCACTCCGATCAAGTGCTGAGACATTTTGCAGATCAGAAAGTAGTCGTCGGCAACAGAGCCTTTGCTGACATCTTGTCAGAAAACCTGCATTCCCTTGCTACGTCTCTTCCCCGCCTAATGAACTCGCAAGATGATCAAGGAAAATTCTCTACGCTCTCCTTGTTACTTGGTTATCTGAAACTCTTGGGCCCAAAAATAAACTTCGTCCTCAACTCCATGGCCCATCTGCAGCGTCTTTCCAAAGCGCTCATTCAAGTTCTAGAATTAGACGTGGCTAGCATCAAAGTTGTTGAAGAGCGGCGTTGGAACTCTGATGGTCTGAGCGCTTCTCCCAAGGAGTCTGCACGGCCGTGGAATCAAATCCAGAGGAGATATTTCCGCTTCTTTACCGACGAGAGAGTTTTCCTGCTTTTACGACAGATCTGTCAGCTTCTCGGTTTTTATGGGAACCTCTGTTTACTTGTGGATCACTTTATGGAACTGTACCGTGAATCTGTGGTTTACCGAAAGCAAGCTGCCATGATCCTTAATGAACTGGTTGTAGGGGCTGTTGGGCTGGAAGTGGAGGATCTTCATAAAAAGCAAATTCAAACAAGCCCAGAGGAACTGAGAGAGATCGTGACATCTATACTCGAAGAATACACGAGCCAAGAAAACTGGTATTTGGTTACCTGTATTGAAGCTGAGGAAATGGAGGAGGAGCTAACAGTGAAGCAGTCAGGACTCCACGCCATCACATCTGGCCCAACCTTCCAAGTTACATCTTTTCCAGACTTACCAAAACCAAGTCCCACTATTTGCTCCATGAATAGCAACATCTGGCAAATATGCATCCAGTTGGAAGGGATTGGCCACTTTGCATATGCACTTGGAAATGACTTTCGTTTGCTCTTGATGTCAGCCCTCTATCCCATTCTGGAGAAGGCTGGAGACCAAACCCTGCTCATTAGTCAGGCAGCTACCAGTGCCATGATGGACATGTGCCATGCATGTGGCTACAACTCCCTGCAGCACCTGATCAATCAAAATTCAGACTATTTGGTGAATGGGATCTCTTTAAATCTACGTCATCTGGCTCAGCACCCTCATACCCCAAAGGTCTTGGAAGTCATGCTACGGAACTCTGACGCTAGCCTGCTTCCTTTGGTGGCAGATGTGGTTCAAGATGTCTTGGCCACCCTGGACCAATTTTATGATAAGAGAGCTACTTCCTTTGTCAGTGTTCTGCATGCCCTACTGGCAGCATTAGGTATATTGAGAGTCCTCTTTAATGCCAATTTGTGGGATAGGGCTAATATCCTAGTTTACCTAACCTTATTTTTTTTTTTCATTGTTTGTGACTTTGATGTGGAAGGCATTATTTGGATAGCTATCTATGCAGTCCCAAAAGTTGTAGTAGGATTCCATTGTTTTTAACACTTTTAAGAATTTCTACCACGTAGTGAATTTCTGCTCTGTGCCTAGAATACCTGGAGACTAAATATAAACATTGTTATTTTAAGAAAAAATAAGGCTCAGTGAGATCCTACTGATAAATGGTCACACACTTAATAAGAGTAACGTCAGGATTTATGACAATTTGGTCTGACTTCAGAGTTCTTTTCAATACACCAAACTGCTTCTAGCGATACTTAGAGTTAGCAGTGCTTATGTTAATAAAGTGCAGGAATAACAGGAGTTATTCAGGCCTCAGATTTTCTGGAACAGTACTGGACAGTAGAACATTCTGTGATAATGGAAATGATCTATATCTGTGCTGTTTAATACAAAAGCTGCTGGCCACATTTGGTTAGTCCTCCTGAGGACCCGAGTTCTTAATTTATTTCATTTTAATTTAAGTAGCCATACATGACAAGTGGCTGTGGACAGAGCAGGTCTAGAAACTTCCTTTTAACCTTTAGATTGCATGCACTGGTTTGCATTTCCCCTCCTCCCTTTGATCTTGTTGGGTGCCTGTTGATCTTGTTGGGTGCCTGTTGGAGGTGCTAGCTACCAGTGAAATGGCAAAAACTTGAGCCAGAAGAAAAAGAATCTCTCAACTGAATAGTTAAACTTTGATTGGAAAAATAATACCCCAGGTCACAGGGTATTATTGCCCCATAGCTGATGCCACATCCAATGTTCATTCATTCATTTGTGAACATGCATGTGTAGCATTAAATGTTCTTTTATTCATTCATTCATTGGAAGAGCCTGCTATACGTTAGGCACTGTGCTAGGTGATGAGGATACAGCAGTGAACAAGGGAGATAAATTTTAATGGAGCTTTCCTACTACTGGGAGAGAGATGATAACCCAGTAAACAAATCCTTAAACAAGCTTATTTCAGATCGTGATATGTGGTGCAAAGAAAATAAACGACTTGATGGAAGAGAAAAACAGGGACAGGCTACTTTCAGTTGAGTGGTCAGAGAGGGCCTCTGTGAGGAAGCAGTGCTGGAGCTGAGATTTGAAAGCTGAGAAGGGCCTGTCAGTCCATAAGGGGCTATCACATTCTTTTCATGGCTTTTAAGAACATTCAAACGAGAGAACAACAGGTACAAAGACCTGCAGGCAAAAACGGGCTGGGTCTTTGGAAAATAGAAGAGAGGGCAGTGTCAAGAGAGTAGTGTGAGGTGAAATTGGAAAGGTTGGAAGGACAAATCCTGCAGGGTGTATAGACCAAGGGAAGGAGTTTGGATTTTCTCTTGCAAACTCTAGGGGAAGCCTGTGTTCTGGGCTAGTCATTGGGAGTCAGCCGTGAGCAACACAGACCTGGTCCCTGCTCTCCAGGAGACAGTCCTAAAAATGGCTAGCTGCTTATACATTTTAGACTGACTGGCTTCCGTGGTCCGAATAGACCCCATACTTGCACCCTTGCTGCTTTGGAGACTGTCCTATATTTAAATGTAAGATTTAAAAATGTATTAAGGGCCTATTGAATATAACCCTCTGGACAAATACCTCAGTTTAGGCCTTGAAAAGTGACTTGCAAGTGTCTTTCGTCATGAAGGAGGAAAATTTTTTTTTTTTTTTTTTAATTAGGATTTGGGTGAAGATTTACAGAGTAAATTCACTTTTCATACAGCAGTTCACATATACTTTGTCTCATGTCATTGACCAAAATTTACAATGCAGCAGCTCCCCTCCCACTTCCTCCCCATAGTTACCTCCTCCCAGTGTCCATCCCTTCATACTCTTCGAGAGGCCCATTGTCTGCCAACCCTGTATATGATCTTGGATACACTCTCCATTTAGACATACATAATTGTTTAGCTTGTTCACCCATCTATCCATCCCTATACCCATGTTTGCTTTCATTGACAACTCAGTATTGTATTTGCAAAGGGGTTCATATTTGTTGTTTGTACTGCCCATGTAACTCTCTCTGTCTTTCTCATCCTCATTGCTGCCATATTGGTCACTCACATTTGGTACATTGCCCTTCTCTTCACCCAAATCAATATTTATCACTATCTATCTAACAGCATTCCCTCCCCTTCCCTCCCACCCCTGGTAACCAACAAAGAAAATGTCCGAAGGAGGAAAATTTGAAAAATTTTGTGTAGCACTTTTTTTAATTGATATGAGGGAAGAATATTTCCATTGCAGAAAGAAAACTGAGAATGATTAAGATTGAGTCTGGAATATCCTAGGAAAAGAAGTACAACTGAGCATAGCTTTTCTGAAGGGTTTAGAGCGACCCAGAATAGACTTGTATTTTGAATAATAATCAGTACCAAGGGCGCATTGGTACAGTCAAGCACCACCAATGTAGCACTTCACACTGGCATGTCTGTCTGTTCATCATGCATTGTTTAAATGATGTCACTCTTTTAGGATGGGAGTGCAAGTGTGGTTTGGCAGAACTTGGAAAAGATCTTAAAAGAACCCAGTAGATGTTATAGAATATGGAGTCTGTTACCATGAACACAGTCTTTCACTATGCATTGACTGAAAAACTGATAGCCAGAGCCATGAGTTAAATGAACACTTAGGAACAATTACTGACTGCCTGGTAATTCATAAAGAGGACAATGTAGGGTGGCTTTGAAAATAAGAAGGTAACCCTGAACTCCCATATCTTGGAACTTAGAGATTGTGCCACACACATGCATGTAAGAGTTGCCTGTTCTTTTATGGCTGTATAGTATTCCCTTGTGTGATTATATTGTAATTTATTTAACCAGTCTTAGTAGACTTTGTGGTGGTTTCCAATCTTTTGCCACCGCAAAAAAAAAAAAAGAAAAGTGCTGCAATGAATACCTTTGTAGGTCATTTTTGAAAATGTGTAAGTATATTAGTAGGATAAGTTCCTAAGAGTAGAAATGCTGTTTAAAGGGTATTACAGTAAATTTTTTGTTAGAGTATCAAATAGCTCTCCAAAGAGGTCTTACCAATTTCAGTGCACATCAGCTATGTTAAGAGAGTGCCAATTTTGCCACACCCTCACCCACACTGCATATTACCAAGCTTTTTGATCTTTGCTAATCTAATAGGAGAAAAATAGCAGCTTATTATAGTTTTAATTTACATTAAGAGTGAGGTTGAGCTTCTTTTCATATGTTTAAAAGCCATTTGTGAGCAGAGACTTTTTTAATGTCTGGCATTAGACTTGGATCTAGAAAGAATCCTTGCAGCACATCTGCCCTTAGCAGTGTAAATGGCTTTAACTGTTTGGGAACACAATCCCTCAGAGAATGCTTAGGCTTGATTTACATCTGGGGATGGGGATTGAGGGAATGGGCATAGTTGATCCCTAGGATAGGAGCTCCAGTAGTGGATTGAAGGTTCTCAAGCATTTGCTCTCTGTGATTCCAGTTGCCTGGCCCTGGCATCTCCCATCTGCTGTTCCTCTGGCTTTGTGCGGATGCTTCTTGATAAAAGGAGATTGTTGCTGTTGTTGTTAGGTGCCGTCGAGTCGAATTTGACTCATACGTCGAGTCGAATTTGACTCATAGCGACCCTTCCTTGGGTTTCCGAGGCAGTATCACTACGGAAGTAGATTGCCCCATCTTCCTTCCGAGGAGTGTCTGATAACCTTTAGCACCGGCTAATCTCCTTTTGGGAGCTCTGGTGGCGTAGTGCCTAAGGCATTTGACTAACCAGAAGGCTGGCGGTTCAAACCCACCAGCCACTCCTCGGAAGGAAGGTTGGGCAATCTACTTCCATAGTGGTACTGCCTGGGAAACCCAAGGAGAGGTCACTAGGAGTTGGGTCCAACCTGACGACACAGGCACATAACAACAACAACAAGGTTATCAGAGGCTTTTTCCCAGCTGTCTGCCAAAGGAGGTTGCTGGACGAGAGTGGTGATTTTCAAGCTGAGGGATTGTTGTTTCATTCTTTGAATTGTAAGGGCCTTTTGTGAAAGGAAGCCTTGGAGGGAACCCCAGTACACAAAACAGTGAAAGTAGAGCTGCTCTGATTGCGGAAGGGATGAGACCCTGGAGCCCACCCCCTTTGCTGCTGTTTCTTAGGTGCCCTCTCCCGTTCTGACCCCTGAGACCTTTCTGCAGAGTCTTAAGGCTCCTCGAGGCATGGTGTGAAAACCATGTAATCAGAGCTATCAGCGCATCACTGAGGAAGGGAAAGCATCAGAGAGAAAATGGCCACCCTCTGAAGCATATTATGTCAGAAATACACATGCACGACTGTGTCTGTTCTCAAGGCTCATTAGAGCCTTTGTTATGCTAATGACTGGTACATCCTATATTCAGAATTCTGTCACTTGTACATGTTCTCCAATCTAGTGCATTTATTCACTTTGGGTATATTTTGAGCACCCGCTGTATGCTGGGTATATTGGACTTCCGGTGGTGATCAAAAGCTACCAGCCTCATGGAACATAGAATCTAGTGGGAGATTCAGACACTAAACAGTACACACAAATATATATATATACATAATTACAAATTGTGATGCTTTGATATGAAGGGAAAGAACATGATGCTGAGTAAGAGAATATATATGGAACCTAAATTGATTGTGGATTCAAGGAATAGCTTTACAGGGCAATTTATACTTGTACTGAGATATGCAAACTGAGTTGGAATTAAAACAAAAAAGCAAACTCGCTGCCATTGAGTCAGATCCGACTCCCTCTTTGGGTTTCTGAGAGGGTATCACTACAGAAGTAGATCGCCCAGTCGTCTTTCTGAGGAGTGGCTGGTGGGTTTGAACTGCCAGCCCTCTGACCAGCAGTCAGATGCCTTAGGCACTAGGCTACCAGAGCTCCTAGCTAGGTATGAAGTAGTAGGGAAAGTATTCTAGAGAAAGAACTGCATATGCAGAAGTTCCAAGAGAGGTCAATGCCTGGGGCATTGGAGGACCTGGAAGATCGTCAGTTAACAGGCAACTGGGAGTGAAAGAGGATGAGGCTGGAGAGGCAGGTAGGGACTGAACTGTGCAGGGCAGGGGCTTCAGACCACAGCAAGGAGCTTATTCTACTTGTGAAAGCCTAATGCCTGGTGTGCATGGCACAGGTGATAATTACAACGCTTTATTTACAGCCCAGTGGTTCCCAGACACAAGACAACCCCAAGAGCAGAGTTTAGAAAAGGAAGGAAGTCATTTCAGCTGGAGACCAGCAGCTCTTGAGAAGGGACTTGACAATACCACCACGGCCGAAGACATTGAACAGTTTTTGCTGAACTACCTCAAAGAAAAGGATGTGGCAGATGGAAATGTCTCGGATTTTGATAGTGAAGAAGGTAACTATTACTTATTTTGACCTAGCTTTGGTTTTGTTTTTTTCTTTCCTTTTTAGGTAGGTTATTATAAAAACAAAACATCTTTACAGAAAGCTTGGGAAAAAAAAAAAAAAGTCATTTCTAATCCCACCATGCTAACATAGCAATTCTGATTTTTTGTGTAATCATTTTCTGTTCTTTTTTTTTTCTTTTCCGCAAACCTATTTTTAAATGCTTGAAGCCATGGTTTAATCATATTATACCCTTTTGCATTTACTTATATCATAAGCAACTCTGCATGTTGCTATAGTGTTTTCATAATTAATGTTTTAATAGCTCCTACTAAGTATCCATTCCCCTGTGGGAAGCTTAGGTTGCTTCTAGCTTTTCACTCTAGTAAACAGTGCCACAGTAGAGGATTCTGTGCATGTAACCTTTTCCTTCTTTTTGCATATTTCTTTATAAATTCCCAGAAGTGGGATTTCTGGGTCAAGGATATGAACATTATTTTATGTTTGTCAAATTGCCTTCCAGAAAGGTGGTATCAATTTACACCTTCCTATCAGCAGTGCTGAACTAATACTGGTTTCGCCACAACCTTGCCAACACTGGCTATTACCAGTTTTCCTTCTTGCTAAATTAAGCAGGTGAAAAAATGGTCCTTGTTGTTCGGCTTTGCATTTTTCTGATCATTGGAAAGGTTGAACATCTTTCTCTATGCTTCTTTCCTAACACTGTCTGTTGATATGCTTTGTCCATTTCTTTCTTGGTGGGAGGAGATTTTGATGTTTTTCTTAGCAGTTTATATGATAAAGAGAAGGGCATTCAGGCTAGTGGAAGCTCCGGCCTGTTGTTTTATTCACAAGCTCAATCTGGAGCTTCAGGTCACGGAAGGATTAATAAATTATTAGAATCTCCTCTGCAAATATAAAATGCCAAGTCATAATGAGCTTGGTGGTCTCAGAACTATCCTAAATTGAACTGAGTCCCAAATTAGTTTGTTAGGTTGGAATGGAGCAGATTTCTTTTTTATTTTGGCGTTCTCCACTCTGAGACTCTTGGGTGAAGTGAAGCAAATGCTGCTAGGGTAACAGGAAAGAGTAGCTTGATGCAACTAACTGCAGCAAATTCCTTCTAACTAGCAGGGCAGCATCTCAGTGCCCAAGTAATGATTTATGCAGAGTCGAATCATTGCCTTCCTCAAGGACAGTTTTCTCATCAGAAATCTATCGAGCATTTTCTTCCCAGGCTTGCTTCTTGAGCCAACCCCATCCTTTTTGTGAGCTGCACCCCTCACTCAAACCTGGGAATCCTGAAGAAGGGGAGGAGTGCTGACCCCTCATAATTCTAGCATTGCCAGCACATCCATTCTTTCATGGTTTGGATCTTCTGGTTCTAGTTGATGTTCGCCAGGAGCAGACTGAATGAATCAAACATTTCCTCCAGTAACACAAACATCCACATCCCTCAAAGAACATTCTGCAATAGGTGAATTCCAAACAACAAATCCTCCCCTGGGAAGAAAAGCACAAGCCCTATCATTCTTAGAATTATCGTTCATCAGGCACACACCGCACACTTGGCATTATAACGAATGTTTGGATGGATGTTGGTTTGACAAGAGTTTTTTGTTTTAACCACAATAAAAGCACCTTGTATATCTGAGGTCACTTTCCCCAAGAAATCCAAACATTCCACCAATGCATTTCCATTTTTCTTTTCAGCATCTGTTAAGACAGGTGTGGCCTCTAACTTCCATTTTTCCAGTAGAGGAAACTGAAATGGGAAAAAGTTAAGGGAGCGGTAACACTCAGCTCAGTGGAAATGAGCACAATTGGTGAGGGGGCAAGACAGGAGAAGTTTGCAGGGTAGGGATCTGGGTCTGGATTTATGCAACCCTCAAGTCTTTTTGTTGTTGTTTTGTATGTGTGTGTGTGTGTGTGTGTATGTATGTATATATGGGAGCTCTGGTGGCATAGTGCCTAAGGCATTTGACTGCTAACCAAAAGGCTGGCGGTTCAAACCCATCAGCCACTACTTAGAAAGAAGATTGGGCAATCTACTTCTGTGGAGATACCACCTTGGAAACCCAAGGAGGGGTCGCTATGAGTCGAATCGACTTCACAGCAGTGAGTTTGGTTTATATATATATGTATATGTATATATATATATGTATGTATGTATGTATGTATGTATGTATATATGTGTATATATTTTTTAAGTATTTGTTGTGCAGAACATGTATCAGTTTGGCACTTTCTCCATGTACATTTCAGTGACAGTGGTAACATTCTTTGAGTTGTGCAAACCATTTTCACCCTCCTATTCTGATTGTTCCTCCCCAATTAACATACATTCACTGCCCCCTAAGGTTCCTATAAAATATTTCTAGTTGCTGTTGTCAGTTTGATCCCATATAGATAGATCTTAAAAGAGAACAGTGCTCAGACAGGCATTCTTTACAAGCTAAGCTAAACTACTGTTCGGTTTTAAGAAGACTTTGTTGTTGTTATTATGTGCCATTGAGTCGGATCCGAGTCATAGCGACCCCTCCTTGGGTTTCGAGGCAGTATCACTACGGAAGTAGGTTGCCCAACCTTCCTTCCGAGGAGTAGCTGGTGGGTTTGAACTGCCAGCCTTCTGGTTAGCAGTCCAGTGCCTTAGGCACTACACTACCAGAGCTTAGGGAGTATTATAGGAGCTCTGGTGGCTTAGTGCCTAAGGCATTGGACTGCTAACCAGAAGGCTGGAGATTCAAATCCACCAGCTACTTCTTGGAAGGAAGGTTGGGCAACCTACTTCTGTAGTGATACCGCCTCGGAAACCCAAGGAGGGGTCCCTATGAGTTGGATCCGACTCAACTGCAGGGAGAGATTTGGTTTAGGGAGTATATATATATATATATATTTTTTTTTTTTTTTTTTTTTTTTTCTTTACTAAAAAGCATTTTCCTTGTTTGGTGTTTTATATAAAGTTAAAAGGACTTACATTAAATTAATTTTAGTGTTAAAGCTTATTAAGTCAGTCTCATCAAAACTCATTTCAAAGACTTTCCTTTTTCACTTTTGTGACGTACTCATTAATTACTTGTGTTGTTGTTATTTTAATTTACAAACTTGCACTTAATCTCCTGCAGAGCAATGCTCTAGGCAATAAAAGAAAGATAATAGCCGGTGATGTTCATCTCATTTAACCCTCTCAACAAGCATGTGAGGTATACTTGCTTTGTTCCCTTTTATTCAGATGAAATAATGGAAGACAAGAGAACTTGCTAATAGGTGGTGAAGGCAGGACTTGAACCAGCCTCCTCTGTCCCAACCCGATGCCCCGTGCATGGAACCGGGCTGTTTTGCCATACAGAGGTAGTAAGTCTTGACCTGGCCATCAAGCCATCTTCTTGGCTGGTGGGGAAGACAGATATGTACCCTCCCCCCTCTTTAGTCAGAGGATGAACCAAGAGGAAAGGAAGGGGAGGAAAAGGCAGAGCTAAGGCCACTCAGGGGCCTTCCCGGCCTCAGGGCTCCAAACTAGAACCCTGCCCTCTTATGTTTTTATTTTAGGTATTTATTAATGGAAATTCAGAAAAGACCAAAGATAGAGAAGAGAATGAAAGCCTGTTACCTTGTGGCCTGTCACTGTTCATATTTTGTCATACTTTCTTCTGTGTAAAAAAATGTACATAATCATGCTCAGGCCATGGATGCAGTTTTGTGCCCTGCTTTCCTCTTTTTTAAGGCACTCCAGTGGCACAGTGCCTGAGGTGTCTGACTGCTAACCAGAAGGTTGGCTGTTCAAACCCACCAGCTGCCCCTTGGAAGGAAGGTGGGACAGTCTACTTCTGTTAAGATTTACCACCTTGGAAACCAGGCAGGGGTCACTGTAAGTTGGAATTAACTCGTTGGCAGTGCGTTCAGAGTTTCATCTCTTTTTAACACAACATTGTTTCATAAGTTGGCATTAAAACTCTCAGCAAACACACATTTTAGGGGCTTCATACATGCCATTCATGGTTTACATGCTGTTTACATACCATTCACATTTGACTAGACAGGGAAGTTTTCCCTGGTTCTTAGCTGTTATAGTTAATGCTGTATTAGAATTCTTGACTCATACAGCTTGACCCATGTTTCATATGGGTTCCTTAGGGTCCTAGACATTTTCCTCTGATGTCCTGTCCCTGAGTCTGCGATTGGGAGATCAAGCTGCATTGGGGCATCTCTCAAGAACTCTGTCCCCGTTACGCTCTTTCAGAGGAGCCGTCGGTCTCTCCTGAGGTGGACAAGAGTGACGTGTGTCCTGGTGTGGAGCCACTACTGCCAGTGCAGACCCAGATAGCCAAGGACGTGATGGAGCGGTGCATCCACTTGTTGTCGGATAAAAACCTGAAAATCCGCTTGAAGGTCAGTGTGCGGCCCCCTCTGTGCATTTACAGAGCAGCAGGACCAAAGACGTTGGTTCCAGCTGGCAGTGACTACATGGATGAGCAAGTACTTTCCCTTATCTCCTGGTCCACGTGTGGTGGCCACAAGAGGAATTCATCTGTGGGATGACAGTCTTACATCTTTCTGTGTCAGCTCAGATGCCAAAAGGGAACTGAATCCCCTGAATTAAAAGCTACAAAGTTTCAGGGATTCATTATACCACCAGGGGAAGGAAAGTCATATGCTTTGGAAAGGATACAGTTTTCTGAGCTGACTAAATGCAGGATGCAGGTTCTAATACTTCTGAGTGGCCATTCTTCCAAGCCCAACACCAGCCCTTATCTCTGTGTCTGTGTCCATTTTCATTCTAGGAGAAACACCAACACTTTTCTTAATCTTTCCGCCTCATTTCCTGGCAGTTTCCCCAGCAGCATCCCCATCAGCAAGGACCTAAAATACACAATAGTGACTCCAGTAACAGGACTGTGAGGTGGGGTGGTGGGGGGGAGTGGGGCTTTCAAATCACCTGGGAAAAGGTCTTATATCCACAGGAAAACAATACAGGCTAGCCTACTCCCCCAGCCCCAAGCAGGAGTGAAAAACATGAGTGCCTTCCCTAAGGCTGTTAGTGATGGGAGCATGTTGCCTACTCAAGTGGGCTAGGATACTCTGATCCACAGTCTGTCTCAAATTACAGTGTCTATGTCTTGTGAAATTTGTTTAGTGTTCCCAGAGACCCTTCTTGGCATTCACTTATAATTCCATTCAGCAAGCACTTTTTGAGTGCCTCTTACATGCAAGGCTATATTGTAGGTCTCTGGATGATTCGTTTAGCAAACGCCTATGTATCCTTCAAGACTCTACTCAATTATCTTCTTCTCTATGGAGGCTTTATAACAATTACAGACATACCATAATTGATAAGAGCATCAACTTTGGAGTCAGACCTACATATCAGTCAAAACTAGTTGCCATCAAGTTGACTCCAATTCATGGTGACTCCATGTGTATCAGACTAGAACTGTGTTCCATGGGGTTTTCAGTGGCAGATTTCGGAGGTTGCCTGACCTTTCTTCTGATGTGCCTCTGGGTGGACTCAAACCTCTAACCTTCCAGTTAGTAGCCAAATACATTAATTGTTTATACCACCCAGGGCCTCATACATCTCCATACTGAGTTCAAATCTGCCTCTACCCCTTACTAGCCATGTGACCTTGAGTAAATTCATTCACCTTTTTGAGTCTCTAATGGTACCTACCTCACAGGGTTGTTGATTGTAAATATAAAATTAGCATGGGGTGTAATATTTTCTTTCATTCATTCACTAAATGTTAGGATCCCTGGTGGCACAATAGTTAAGCACTTGGCTGCTAATCAAAAGCTTAGTGGTTCAAACCCACCCCTTGGCTGCATGAAAGAAAGACCTAGTGATCTGCTCCCATAAAGATTGTTATTGTTGTTATGTGCTATTGAGTCAGACCTGACTCACAGCGACCCCTCCTTGGGTTTCCGAGACAGTATCATTATGAAAGTAGATTACCCAACCTGCCTTCCGAGCAGTGGCTGGTGGGTTTGAACCGACAACCTTCTGGTTAGCAGTCAAGTGCCTTAGGCACTACACCACCAGAGTTCCTCCCATAAAGATTACAAAGTAGTAAACCCTATGGGACAGTTCTACTCTGTCACATGGGATTGCTATGACCTGAAATTGACAGTACACAACAGCAACTGGTCAGGAAGAGGGTGTCTTAGAGGAACGGGGCAGATGTGACCTCTGTCTTCATGGAGTGTCCTATCTAGAGAGACCAAATACAAACAGGCCTATATGAGTTGAGAAAATGCTATGAAAGTGATAAACAGGTTCTGTAATAGAGCAAACAGATCTGTCTTGGAAGATGTACGACCAGAGTGCCCCTTAGAAGCGAGGGTGGAAAGACTTTGTCTCGTGTGCTTCGGACATGCAATCAGGAAGGACCAGCCCCTGCATAAAGACATCATGCCTGAAAAAATAGAGGGTCAGTGAAAAAGAGGAAGACCCTCAATGGCATGGACTGACACAGTGGCTGCAACAATGGCCTTACATGTAATGGACTTAAACGTAGCAACAACTGTGAGGGTGACACAGGGCTGGGTAGCACTTCATTCTGTTGGACATAAGGTCACTGTGAGTCAGAACTAACTTGACGGCACCAAACCACAACATAATAGGAAATGGTAATCCACTCAGGTGGCAAACGTATTGGGAACCTACTCTGAACCAAACCTAGTTGAATAGGACACAGATAGTATACTCTGACTTAGCTAGATTACCGGGGATGGCCTCTCTGAGGTGGTAACATTTAACGGACTTAAAGATTGAGAAGGAGCCAACCGTGGAAAGAGACAAAGACAGAGAGGAGCATTGCAGGCAGAGGGAAAACAATATGTCTTTGAATCACTGAAGTATGATAACTTGCCCAGTTAGTGACAGAACTCAGAGTGAAAGCCGGTCAGTGACAGCAAAGCTGTGTCCACTGTGCTGCTAACCTGTACTCCTCTGCTTTTTCTTTTCTCCAGCCTCTTGTTTTTTGTTTCTGTTCCAGCCTCAGTATGGACTGGCACATAGTAGGTAGCCAGTAAATATTTACTGCTTCATGTTAGAAGCCTTCAGTCTGTCTTTTGACTCAAACATGCACCTTGCTCTGCTCTGTGAAGTCAGGTCTGTCTGTGCGGGAAGGATGCCTGCAGTGATCGCCTGCCCGTGACACTGAAGCAGGCTGACTGTGGTCGGTGAGCTTTGAGATACGAAAGATTAGGAAGCACGTTCTCAGGGAAGGCAAAAAGTCCATTTTACATCTGTTGTTAGGTGTCGTCAAGTCAGCTCTGACTCCTAGCAACCCCGTGTACAACAGAATGTAGCACTGCCCAGTCCTGTGCCAGCCTCAGAAGCCTTGCTATAACTGAGCCATCCTTGCAGCCACTGTGTCAGTCCATCTCATCAAGGGTCTTCCTCTTTTTTGTTGACCCTCCACTTTACCAAGCATGATACCCTTCTCCAGAGATGGTCCCTCTGACAACATGAGCAAAATAGGTGAGATAAGGTCTGGTCATTCTCACTTCCAGGGATCATTCCAGCTGCACTTCTTCCAGGACAGATCTGTTCATTCTTCTGGCAGTCAGTCCATGGTACTTTCAGTATTCTTTACCAACACCACAACTCAAAAGCATCAACTCTCTTTTGGTCTTCCGTATTCATTGTGCAGCTTTCATGTGCATATGAGGTGATTGAAAATACCATGGCTTGGGTTACCCGCACCCCCTTAGTCTTCAAGGAGACATCTTTGCTTTTCAGCACTTTTGAGAGGTCTTTTGCCACAGATTTGCCCAGTGCAATGTGATGTCTGATTTCTTGACTTCTGCTTCCATGGATGTTGATTGTGGATCCAAGTAATATGAAATCTCTGGCAACTTCGATCTTTTCTCCATTTATCAGGATGCTGCTTATTGGTGCATTTGTAAGGCTTTTCATTTTCTTTATGTTGAAGTGTAATCCATACTGCAGACTGTAGTCTTCAGTCTTCATCAGTAAGTGCTTTAAGTCATCTTCACTTTCAGCAAGCAAGGTTGTATCGTTTGCATATCACAGATTGTTAATGAGTCTTCCTCCAGTCCTGATGCCACGTTCTTCTTCATGTAGTCCAGCTTCTCAGGTTATTTGCTCAGCATACAGATTGAATAAGTGTGGAGAAAGGATACAACCCTGACGCACTCCCTTCCTGATTTTAAACCACACAGTATCCCTTCATTCTGTTTGAATGACAGCCTCCTTGTCTTTGTACAGGTTCCTCATGAGCACAATTAAATATTCTAGAATTCCCATTCTTCTCAATGTTATCCATAATTTGTTATGATTCACACAGTTGAATGTTTTGCATAGTCAATAAAACACAACTAAATATCTTTCTGGTGTTCTTTGCCAGCCAAGATCCATCTGACATCAGCAATGATATCCCTTGTTCCACATCCTCTTCTGAATCTAGCTTGCACTTCTGGAAGTTCCCTGTCAATATGCTGCTGCAACCATTTTTGAATTATGTTCAGCAAGATTTTACTTGCATGTGAATTAATGATATTGTTCAATAATTTCCACATTCTGTGGAATCACATTTCTTTGGAATGGTGTACTCATATGGATCTCTTCCAGTTGGTTGGCCAGGTAACTGTCTTCCAGATTTCTCGTCATAGACTAGTTAAGTGCCTTCAGTGAAGCTTCCATTGTTGAAACATCTCAATGGGTATCCCATTGATTCCTGGAGCCTTGTTTTTCACCATTTCATTCAGTGCAGCTTCAACTTCTTCCTTCAACACCACTGGTTCTTGATCATATGCTGCTTGATCATCTACAACGCTGGATGAACGTTGACCAGTTCTTTTTTGTACAGTGACTGTGATCCTTCTCTATCTTCTTTTGATGTTTCCTGCATCATTCAATATTTTATCCATAGAATCTTTCAGTATTGCAACTCGAGGCTTGAAATTTTTCTTCAGTTCTTTCAGTTTGGGAAATGCCGACTGAGTGTGTTCTTCCCTTTTGGTTTTCTAGCTCCAGGTCTTTGCGTATTTCATTCTAATAATTGACTCTGTCTTCTCGAGCTGCCCTTTGAAATCTTTTGTTCAGCTCTTTTGTCTTGTCATTTCTTCCATTTGTTTAGCTGCTCCCTGTTCAAGAGCAAGTTTTACATCTAGTCTATCCCAAAACTTTTTTCTGAGGTTGACCTGTATCTCAGCCACCTACCTAACCTCCTCATTTAAAAGTAGCAGAACTTGATCTCACCCAGCCTCTAGGGTTGCTCCTCCACTATTGTTCCCCATCCCATTAAACGGTACCTATATCTATTCAGATGCTGCTCCTGAACCTGAGCAGCTCTTCGTGATACTTCTCTTCCTTCTCCTGTATCCAGCCCTTCAGGAATTCAGGCCACGTCGTCTCCAGCATAGATCTCAAATCCTTCCACTTCTGCCTTTCTGCTACCACCATGTGACCACATTACTTTCTTTCTCTCACGTGGACATGTTCCATGCCACCTCCTCTTGCTGCCTTCTAGTCCCTTCTCCACCCAGTGGCCAGAATGACTTTTTTAAAACATGAATCTTATCATGTCACTTTTCTGCTTAAAACACTTGGATGGCTCCCCACTGTACTTAGTATAGAATAAAAAATGCCTAACATGATGCCTCATGGTCCAGCCCCATTGTCCCCTTCCGCCCCCTCACCCTTCCTCCACATTACTCCATGCCGCTCTGCTTCAGTTTCTCAAGCACCCATCTCTGAGTCTTCTTTGATTCTCTTTCCAGTTCCAGGAACACACTTTCACTCTTAACATGATAACTCCTGCTTATCCTTTGTGTCTCATTTTAAAAGTCCCTTCCTCAGAGAAGCCTCCAGCCATCTGTGTGGTTTACATCCCTCTCTTAGTTTCTTTGTACTTTCCCTTTACTTTCTTTCCTGGCACTGTCACACTATTCTCGTCTCCTTTGGGTGTTGTCTAATTAAGATCTTATCCCAGTTGATCACAAGCCCCGTGGAGGCACGGAAACATGTGCATTATATGCTTGTGTGTGTCCCCAGCACCCAGCTAGTATGTATTCAGGACTCAGTAACTATTTATTCAGTTAATTGATGAGTCTCTAACTTTTACTCTTTTAAAATGGTGACTTGATCCTAGATATCCTGTTTCAAAGGTCCTTTGGGCTGGACTACTAACCTAAAGGTTGGCAGTTCAAACCCACCTGTTGGCACCATGGAAGAAAGTCCTGGCAAACTGCTTCTGTAAAGATTACAGTCAAGAAAACTGTGTGGAGCAGTTCTACTCTGTGACACAGTGGGTTTGTTATTTGTTTTGTTTTGTTTCACCTGGTTTCAGGCCCTCAACCATCTTCTGAAATTTGGTCCTCTTTTCTTTCAGGTGTTGGATGTGCTGGACTTGTGTGTAGTGATTCTGCAGTCCCACCAGAACCAGCTCCTTCCCTTGGCTCATCGGGCCTGGCCTTCGCTTGTGCACAGACTCGTGAATGATGACCCGCTGGCAGTGCTCAGAGCCTTCAAGGTACTGACTGAGTCCCACCAGCTGCCAGTTGTGAGCCTAGAGGGTTGTAAGCATAGAGCTCACAGTATTTTTTTGGAGCTGGTTCGTTTCTTACCTGATTGCAATGTCATATACCTTGTTGAAAATACAGAAAAATATCAAAAGCACAAAGAAGAACATGAAAGTCAGTTTCCTTTTGATTCTGAGGCAGAGTGAACTGGTAGATGGGACAGGGTGCCGATGCTTAACTGAGCATGCCCAGCACGTGTGCACTCATCTTCTTCCAACAAATTTGCAAGGTAGGCCTGTTACCCCCATTTTTGGCAGAAGTGGAAACAAGCTCAGAGAAGTTAAGGAATTTTCTCAAGATCACACAGCTGCTAAGTGATAGAAGCTAGGTCTTTGAGTTTACTCCTATGTTCTTTGCTGCACAAGAGGTGAAGTGAAGGGGCCTAGGTTCTAGCAGCCTCTGCCCAGCCCAGTGATTTTGGGCAAAGCCCATGACTGCCCATTTTCAGATCCAGCTTAGGATTACCTAGCCTATCTTTCTGTTAGTGTTACAAAGATAAAATGGGACCATTTGGTGAAATGCTTTGAAAAGTTAGAACACTGTGTGTGTGTGTGTGTGTGAGTGTGTGTGTGATCCGTGACTTAGTTTGGCTTGTATTAGCACAGGTATCTTGGCTTATTTATTGATAGCCTTCATTGTTCTAAAAAGCACTTAGGGCAGCCTACAGAGATACATGACAAGATAACATAAATTAGAAATAAGTGAGCAAGAGGAAGCAAAGAGAAAGACGTGTAGGGACATAAGATGAAGCCAGAGATGTGACGAATACATCTGGCAAAGTATTTTGGTTTACATAAGTGTCTTCAGCATACACTGGATCAAAATACAAGTTTATGTTTAAGGCTTGTTAAAAATTGTTAATATTTTTTCCAAAAGAAAACATACAAATTGGCACACACACACGTGCATATGCATATGCACAAGTGTTGATGTGCATGTGTATGTGTGTGCACATGCCAGAGGGGGGCATTCAGGGAGAGGGAGGGAGATAACTGCCAGGTCTTATTCAGATGCACTGTTTGCCTTTATGGAAATTAATAGGTTATCTGAAATGACAGCAGGCATAGAAACGGAAAATACTGAGATGCATGCGCTGTTACTGAGGCGGCTTTTTCCACTCCAGACACGTTGATGACGCCTGAGGTCTATACGGCCCTGTGCAGGCCAGCCGAGGGACCTGAAATAAGCACCTTGTTCTCTGCAGAGTCGGCAAACACTCTGTGTGCTGCTTATGCCTTGCTTACCAATTTTTAAAGAAATTCCTGTTATCCTGTATACTCAGTCTTGTGCAGCGGGGCAAAACGCTCCAATATGTTCTGCTAGAAAAAGTTTAAAACGAGAGACATGCAAAGAAGCTGCCCATTGGGAAAGATAGAATGAGGGTGACATGTGGAAGAGACTCTGCAGTTGAACAGAAAGAAAACCGAGTTGGCTCCCACCCTGGGTACCCCACCCTGACTCAGCCAGGGGCCCGTGGTCCAGCCACTAACCTCTGATGCCTGAGCCCGGCAGCAGCTGTGTTTGCGTGGGTTCAGCTAGCTAGAGTTAAAAGCACACATCTGTTCTCAAGAGACATCAAGAAGAGTCAAGAGATGATCTATGGGAGCTGCTTTAAGCTCTTCTTTTTTTTTTTTTTTTTCCTTCCAAAAAAAGGGAGGAAAATCAAGGTATTAATCATATTATTCATCCAACCCAAGATTCCTTTGACTTATTCTCCATGTAATCTGTATTTATGGGTAGAAGCAGCCATGCCTTGGGAGCAGAGACCTCCAAATTCATAACTGTCAGAATCACAAACCATGGGCAAGGAATTAACAGCAGTAATGCTATTTTTTTCAAGCAGAGACCTAGATGAAATTAGATTACCGAGCATTCTTGCACACTCTTGCTGCCGTGGCAATGTTCAGTCACAGGTTGGGGGCTGTTTCTGCAGGTTTTGCACACCCTGGGAGGCAAGTGTGGCGATTTTCTAAGGAGCCGGTTCTGCAAAGATGTCCTGCCAAAGCTGGCTGGCTCCTTAGCCACCCAGGCTCCCATTAGCGCCAGGGCTGGACCAATTTACTCCCACACGCTGGCCTTCAAGTTGCAGCTGGCCGTCTTGCAGGGCCTGGGCCCCCTCTGCATAAGCCTGGACCTAGGTAGGTACCAGCCACACTCCCCTGGACCCACACAATCTGCCTGTCTCACCCCTGCTGTGTACTTCCTGCTTGGCCCTGCCCCCCTCACCTCCCTTCACACACACATTCTTCAGTCTGACTTTGGCCTCATTGACCCATTTATCTTTATGGGTTTTTTGATCTGAGGGTTGGGGTAAAGGGCCCAGGGCTTCTTGCATAGCTGCTCCAGCCTCACTGGAGAGCAGTTGGTTACTGCTTGTCCCAGATGAAGTCTGAGGGCCAATGCTTGTTTTGTTTCTCCTCCTGCAGGTGAGGGTGACCTGAATAAAGTGGCTGATGCCTGCTTGATTTACCTCAGCGCCAAACAGCCCGTGAAATTACAAGAGGCTGCCAGGAGGTAAGACTGCTTGATCACCTGCATCTCTTTGCATTTGTTTTAAATTATGGATGATTTGCTAATGGCAGGCAGAGTCGGGCATCTCTGTTCTCTCCTCTCTTCTTGCCAGGTTAAGATGATTTCTTTAACTGTGCCAACTCTAGAGATGGTATTTTCACTAGACACATTTCTCTTTGCAAGTAACCTTTACCTCTCCTGCTACGTCAGCAACAATTTCCAAGGGGCAGGAAGCCAAAAGACGATGGTGAGCTGGAGCAGGCAGAGTGCTCGCCTGTCTGGAGAGCGAGCGATCGCAGTCTCGGCCCTGCTTGCCTGGCGCCTGGGTGACCCCGGCTCTGCTCTGCAAAGTGGAAGCATTGGGTTTCTGATCTGGCATACCTCACTCCCAGGAGCTTCTTAGACTGGTGTCAGGGGCTGTGAACCCTGCAAATTATATGCAGAATTGGGTGTGTGCCCCAGCAGATGCATCCGTGCATTTTTCTAGACAGAGTCCACAACATTCATCCAATTCTAAAAGGAGTCTGTGACCCAAAGAACGTTTGAAAGCATTGAACTAATGGCCTAAAAGCACTTTCCTGGCTCTGAAATCACACAGTTGTAATTTCCAAGAATTTTGACCCTGCTGTACCACTTCTAGGAGCTCTGATGGCATAGTGCCTAAGGTATTTGACTGCTAAGCAGAAGGCTGGCAGTTCAAACTCACCAGCCATTCCTCGGAAGGAAGGCTGGGCAATCTACTTCTTTAGAGATACCACCTTGGAAACCCAAGGAGGGGTCACTATGAGCTGGGATCAACTCGAGGGCAGTGAGTTTGTACCACCTCTAATGGAAGAAGCTAAGTCTGGTTCCTTAAATACTAAGGCATTTTCTCCTCAGTTGAAACTCTGAGCACAGCGGCGTTCTCCAAACTTAGAGCCAAAGTGCATTGGGTCACCTTTCCCCAGCTCTCCTTTCAGCTGGGAGCAGCGCATATTTCAGCACTGCCCTCCTCTGAACTGGGACTGGGTTGGGCCTAATGCCAAAAGCTGGGCTTCACTTTTGGGAGCAAGGGAACAGTCCCTCCCTCCCCCTTGCGGGCTTATAGAGACTCGTCCCTGATCATCCTTGGTGGGGACTGGAGTCTCTGGGAGTCATCTTACCTGTGGGGATGGAGGCTGCTTTGACTGTGAAATGAGGAAACTCCATTCACTCCCTTATAAACCTTGCACTCTCTGCATGCCCTGGGAGTGATGGGAATATCTTTTTGAATTGATTTATAGTCCTTTGCAATTTTTTGCTCTTGATTTCCCTACTTTTTTTTTCTTTCTGTCCCTCTCCCCATCACATCTCCTGCACCCAAAATCAGTCATGATCCCTCAAGCACAAGGGTGCATCCCAGCAAGCTTCTGGTCCCCACCCCTCCCCCCTGGGCATTCTCAATCCTTAAAGAACCAATTTAGGGTAAAGATGGGTAGTCCTCCCCAGGCGGTACCCTGAAGCACATTGTGCTACGACCACCACCACGTAAAGCACAACTCAAGAACCTAAGAATGTATCTTTAAGAAGAATCTTCTAGGCTCCTGATACAAGCAGGGTTACCAAGATCTGATACCCACATTCCCTGTCCCACTGTACTTTTCCTGCTCCCTCCCCATACCCACCCTTCAAGTTCAGTTCCATTAAACAAGCTAATACTCATAATTCATTATCTTTTTCATTTCTTACTCTCATTTTTAATGCTAAAGCAATTAAACCCAGAATTGGGCCTCGACAGCACTTGAGTTGGTGTTGGAGGTGTCTCTGGAGGAGGAACTGCGACCCTTCCACTTGGCTGCAGCGCCTTTGTTTGCTCTGCCACATTCCATGCAGATTTGAGTCAGATGACCTCCCTTCCCAAGTCCTGGGGTGTGTGTATATGTGTGTGTAGGGGGGTTGCAGCGCAAGGTTGCTGGCTTCACAGCCACATCATTTGCAAACTCATTTTGAAAGTGGGAAAATCTCAGTGCTGTCCTTGATCAGGAGCTAGTTTGGCATCTTGAGGCAGAAATTAATAAGCTCGCTAACTGGGCAGAGTCTGAGACCACAGGAATCCTGGTCTCTGTGTGCCTCGTTAAGGTGTAAAAAGAGGGAGATAGATGGACCAATTCAAAGTGAAACAGTCATATCTACTGGTATGAGATGGAGTCCCTATCCCACCATCTAGTTGTTCATCCTCAGTTCTTCTCTTTCCTTCACATCCCACTTCTACTCCAGAAGTTAAGCCTGCCTCCTTAACTTCCAGAATCTCTCTTTAAACAGCCTGCTTCTCTTCACCGCCCAGCCACCCGCCTAGGCCAAGCCACCCTCCGTCTCTTACCTGAACGCCTGCAGAAGCCTCCTCCTTCGTCCTCGGTGTCCACTCCTGCCCCCTCCTAAGTGTTCTCTGCATTGCAGTCAGAGTGAGACACCCCACCACACTCACCCATGGGAGAAGAGGAAGCTGCCGTGGTCTTTACAGGAGCCTAAGGGGGAGCCCTGTAGCCTGACGGTTACCAGAAATTGAGCCTTGGCTCAGAGAAAGAACCAGGTTAGAGGCAGATCTGTCGGAGGTGAACCAGGCCCCTTCAGAGGCAGTGAGTTCCCCATTGCTGTGCAGGCAACCAGCTTGTTTTGGAATTGGCCCTCTGTCTAGGGGAGGCCTGGTGGGGAAGCCTGTGAGGGTGTGGGCATTTTGAAAGGAATGAGGAATGAGCCGGTGACCAGGGCCATCTTTGGGTCTGTCGTGTGGGAAAATGACATCAGGGGCAGCTTCATGAAAGTCCTTTCTTGCAAGGAAAACGATTTTTTCTTCGGTGGCTTTCCCTGGCTCCAAGGAATGACCAAGCCTGTGTTTGCTTTTTTAATTTGTCGTATTAAATATAGCCTTTGTGGCAGGCTTTTACATCCAGGCTGTAAACTGTAGAAATGGAAATTGATCAGGGGTGGTTGATATAACTGAGGCTGTAAATGCTAAGAACGGAGATGCCATTCCAGTTTAATGCTTGTATCTGGCGAATATGCCTTGCAAGGGGGAAGCATAAATCTTGCAACTTGGGAGAAGGGGGTCAGGGGTGGGGGCAGGGTATAACCTTGCTGTGTGTTACCACCAGGTGTCACTGTAAACTGGCGATGCAAGAAAAATACCAGCTCCCCCAAAGTATTTCTAGTTAATAACTTCAATGGGTAACAAATGAGAAAATCATATTTGAGGTGTGGAAGGAGGGGTCAACATACCATGAGCTGTAAATAAGGCAGTATCCCTGAGGGTGAGCACTGGATTACAAAATAACTGGTCATATCAGCCAAGCCCCCATCTCAGCCCATTGCAGAGGCAAACTTAATGGATTTGAATTCCCAGGTGGCCCTGGAAGCCTCCCACATCTCTCCCAGCATGCGCTGGGCCTCCACAGCTCTGTGCTTCTCTGGCTATGAAGGTTTTCCTCTCACACATGAAAGGAATCTTAGATAAGAGCACACGCCCCAAATTTCATTGTTTTTCCTTTGAGCCAGTACACAAACTCAGCCTAGTTAAATTCAACGTGGTTAAAACCACACTCCTTGGGCTGATTTCTAAGCAGCCTGTGAGGCTCCCTGTCTTTGCAGTGAGGTCTTAAATCTCCAGTGAGCCCTTCCACCCTGGAGCGAAAAGGCAATGGTACTGGGCAATACTTACTTTTAAAAGATGACTTTCCTACCCAGCAAATCTCACAGCAGAGGAACAGTGCTTGCAGACTGCTTGATCTCTACCCCGGTGCTACCCCTGCCTACTAACCCCGGAGTCCAGGGGTAGCCAGAAGGTAGCGACCCACAGATGCACCTTCTGGCTCTACAGCCACTCGGTGGTCTTCTGCGGTCCTTGTGTGGGGCCCGGGGAGGGGCCGTTTGCCCTCTCTGCTTCCTTTGCCTCTGTATGTGGGCAAAGGTACCAGTCTTGGAGGTAGATAAGCCAGGGTTCAAAACTTACTAGCTGTGTGACCTTGAGTAATGACTTCATATCCTCACACCTCTTTTCTGTCCTCTGTAAGCTAGAGTGGTGATAACACTTCCTCACAGGCTTGTTGTGTGGATGATTGTATGTGGATGTGGAGGGAGTCCACTGGGTCTTCATTCCTTCGTTGGGTCAGTTGAGAACCTACTATGTGCCAGGCCCTGTTGTAGGCACTGAAAATAGAAGGGAACAAGACAGAGGAGGTCTCAGCATCATGGTGGTGATGTTCCAGAGGCATGTGGTATGTTCATTGTGTGTGTGTGTAATATGGGGTATATATAAGCCTACTAAATATATGGTGTATTAGGTATATGATACACATATGCACTTGTATATATTGTTGTATATATTTGCATATATTTACATACAAATTTACATGTGTATATGCTGCCTTGGAAATCCTAGGAGGGGTCGCTATGAGTCAGGTCCAACTCAACATCAAATAACAACAACAACATGTAGTTTTTATTTACTATATACATATGTGGGAGCGCTGGTGGCATAGTGCGTAAGGCATTTGACTGCTAACCAGAAGGTTGGTGGTTCAAACCCACCAGCCACTCCTCTGAAGGAAGACTGAACCATCTACTGAACCACCACTATGGAGTGATAGCGCCTCCGTAACCCAAGGAGGGATTGCTATGAATTGGATCCTACTTAATGGCAGGTAGTTTGGTTTTACATATACATGTAAGGAGCTCTGGTGGTGGAGTGCCTAAAGGCATTTGACTGTTAACCAGGTTAGCAGTTCAAATGCACCAACTGCTCTGCAGAAGGAAGATGGGGCAAAACTTCTGTGAATATTTACCACCTCAGAAACCCAGTAGGGGTCTCTGTGAGTTGGAATCAACTCTGAAGCAGTGAGTTTGGTTTTGGCTTATATACATATGTAGTTGTATATATTTCTTTGTCTTCAGCCTGCTTTGTCTTCTCTACTGAAATCCAAACGGGTTTTCACACAGAAGGATCTTTTTCACAGTAATTGTGCAACCCCAGCCCCACCCTCACCCCAGTT